CTATCACTTCAGCATCTAGTCAAGCAAGCGTTTGTATTGCCTTAAGCGCCAGGGTCGAGGCTGGTCTATTGGATTAGATTCCGACTATGTGCAGTGAGACTCAGAAGCTCAAGTAAGGTCAAAAAGCAGAGACCAAATAAACGATGCTTATTCGAGGTTTCTGCATACGCTCCCATAGACTGTAGCCCGGATACATTCAAGGGCGCCATCTACCACAACCTACATGAGCTTCTTCTCAAAGCACCTAAGACGGATATCGTGATCCTGGCCGGAGACGTAAGCGTTGGTCGTATGTCACTCGTTGAGAAACACCTTGGTGGCCATCATGGCCTTGATAGCTGTCTTTCAGATAATGGGGATAGACATCTTAGCATATGCTCAGAACACGGTCTGTTCCTCGTTAGCACGAACTTCAGACACTGTAAGTGTCACCTCGCCATCTGGCGTAACCCTCTCTTCGGCACAGACGTGGAATCAGATTGACCATATAGCTATTAGCTATGGGGGGAGAGGATGTGTGAAGGACTGTTGTTTGTATTGGTCTGACTGCTTGGACTCCGACCATGCACTGGTTTGTGCCAAGTTGTTTATGCGATTTGGTGGCCGCAAAAAGACGTGATGCAAACAGCTCGACGTTGCTAAGCTCTCGGACCCGGCCGTACCACCCGATTACCAAAACGAGTTGGCCGCAGGGCTAACTACCACCCCACCAAGAAACGTAGATTAACACTGGGTAACCATTCAAAACGCAATGCATGCAGCCGGTTTAACAGTTGTGGCCTAACCACCCGAGTTGTAAATCTCTGGGTCTCTTATAACTCTCTCAGACTCCTCGACGAGCGTCAGGCAATCCCGGGAAACCCCGAGTACAATGAACAACGCCTCCCTCTGAAGCGTGAACTAACCAAGAGTTTGAGAGACGACAGAGCGGTCTGGTGGACGTTACGTGCAAAGGAAATGGAATCAGCACTTAGGTGTGGAAACACCGGGCAACTATTCCAGCTCATCCGCGCTACAGGCCCCAAAAGACAGTGCGTTAGTAAAACAATCTGCGAAGTAGACGGCA